GCGGGCAAGTTACATAATGAACATGAATTCTTAACGGTGAAGGGCCCGCATCCAAGTTTCACGTTTTCATGCCAAAATCATGGGAGACAATAGAACTAGGAGGCTGCCATTCACGGACGATTCTAGAACAGGAGAGTGGCTTCAGAGAATTTTTGAGAATAGTTTCTTTCCTCCTTGCTATTCCCCAGAACATGTTTGCAAAGTGTTGTTATTGATCACAGGCCTGTAGCCAGGATTTTGTGGCTTGTGGGGCAAATTTTTTTCTGGTGGGGTTGAAGTTCTCAGTGCAGAAAGAAAAGCCGTTTAGCCAATAGAAAGTCGTTCCCAGGATAGATCTCTAAACTGCAAGCTGGCAACCACTTTAGATGACAGTTCTCAGCTGCTGCAAGTTAGTCACTTCCACCAGCCTAAGCAACAATTTTGAGAACAAGCTGGCAGGTGGGGGTGATGATTTCTATAGTCAAGAAAGCTAACACTTAGGTAGAAAAACTCTCTTAAAGTAGACCAGTTTCTCAACACAGAGTTAGAAGGGATCCTAGAGGTCACCTGCTCCAACCCCCTTGCTCAGTGAAGGAATTAGTTATCTACAGCACCCCACTCTGCTTGAAGGAGTGCACACCTTTTAAAGAATGTTTTAAAACAGTTGAAAAAAGTATTTACAGGAGAAATTCTTGTGGGACTGTGCCTTTAAGAAAGGGGGCGGAGCCCCCAAAAGCGCCACTGTAGCTACAGGCCTGATTGATCATGATTCCTAAGAGGGGATGAAGAGCTGCTTTATACCTCAGTTCCTAAAAGAAAAGAAGATTTGAAGGCAGAGAGAAGTGTGTGGCATTAGGAACCTAGTGCTTATATATAACAGGTGATGTGTACTGTGTACTTCTGTACTTGCACCTGGCTGGACGACCTTGGGAAAGTGAAGGGTGGGGTAGAAATCTAATCTCCTCTCCTCTCCTCCTCTTCCCAGGACACAGTTCAAAACCCACTGTTTTTGCAGATTGCTCCAAACGTTTTTTGCAGCGTGCTCCCAAGAAAACAAGAAGCGGAGCTTCATAGACCTGAGTGTGCTCTGTACCTTCTTCTGTGCTGCTTTAAGAAGAGAAGAAACAAATGCTTCTCTGTGGTTTTGTGCCGATGCCACCGCCTCGCTGGGTTTTAACATTCTGTGTGCTGTCTGATGCGGTTTAAGTTGCCTCATCGTCACCCTTTGAATCTCTTCAAGTAGGGGTTCCCCAAGCTTTCTGAGCCTGTAGGCCCCTTTGGAATTCTGATACACTCAGAATGGCCAACATGGAAAGTGGAGCCACACACACACACACACACACACATACGTACAGTGGGATTCAGGGGACAAACAGAAGCAATTTCTTAAAAATGCCCTGGGCAAGAGGAGTGAGGGAATCAAACCAATATTGTGGTGGCAGCTGTCACCAAAATGTTATTTTAATCTGCACAGTCCATCATGTCTCCAGTGGCCAATCAGAAGGTCCAGGTGACCCCATCTGCTTTCTACAAACGTTTGAGGACCGCCAGGGAAGGAATCATTGGGTGCCCGGGCATAGGGGAGGATGGTATAATAGGGGAGGGTGGTGTAAACTCCCCTTTCTAACATTGCAGAAGGGTAAAAATGACTGTCGTGCCCTCGTGGCTTTTTTCTTTGCACTTAGCTAAGCACTGCTGCACTAGACGAAGAAGCTTCTAAATCTCATCCCTTTCCCGTCCGGTCTCCTCTTGGGGCAGAACCTGGGGGTGGAAAGGCCTCTCCCGTTGAGTCCCTGGCAGGAGAGGGGAGCCCTCGTCTACCCACCTTCCTCCCCCTACTTATTGCGGAGAGGCAAGATAATGCTTGAATCCTGGGAGGACGGGATTCTTATCAGTTCACTTTGAACCATGCCTATGTAGGACCAGGGCTTGGACCATGTCAGAAACAGGATATCTGCCAAGTCTGCACCCATCTTAATTGGTAGTCTAGAAAAATATACATTTATAAGAAAATAGTAAAATAATGCTAAAAGTAAAAATAGAGATAAAGGTTCTAATAGAATATTAATGGAATATTAAAGTTCTAAAAAATGAAAAAGGCAGAAAGGGTAAAAAAAAAAAAAAGGGAAAAGCAAAATAGGGTAGAAAGGGGGGGAAGGGGGGAGATAAAAATGGTAATTAGGAATTTAAGCCCCTATATTGAATGCAAAGAAATGACCAGACATAGGAGATGGGATAATGTACAAATGTGAAAGGTTTACAATACAGATAA